CCAAACCCGGCATGGTCTTAAGGGAGGCGGCTAAACACACCCAGAGAAACCTCTGTGGTCGGCAGCCTCACGAACCAGCCTCCCCACCTCCATGCTCACGACCAGCCCTCGCCGCCCTGCCCAGCCCTGCCACGAACCAGCTGAGGTTTAGCTCCCATCGCTGCGCAGGCGCTCAGAGGCAGCTCTTTGCATTTATCTCCTTGCCATCCACCCAAGAAAAGACCCATATTGTCTCCGAGGCGAAAAGAAAGCTGCTGTGTCACTTGGGCGCAGTTGTTTTATCTGGAAAGGGGCTGAGCGGCTTTGAAAGCCTGTTTCTATCCGGCTCCACGTGCAGGGGGGGGGGACTTGGGGGTCCTCAAAAGGTGCAAATTGCAGCTGCACAATTAAATAACGGGGTGTGTCCCGGCCTCCGCAATCCCCTGGGCAGCACAGCCCTAACGAGGAGACAGTGGCATTACTAATCAGGGCTTTGACCTTTACATGGCTTTTATTTAATACACATTCCACACTTCCCCAAACTCCCATCCAAAACATTGACATTTCCGCTGATAGATTGGGTCAGATTTTGGAGTAGTTGGGGGACTCAATTCACTCTTACAATGGTTAAATTCTTACAGCTAAATGGGCTTATTCAGTTAGTGCAGCAGCTGGTGTGATTTCGAGAAGAAAATAAACATTTCCTTCAAATATTTTGATTGGCAACTGGACAACTGAAATACTCAAGCTCAGATTGCCAGGGTCCAAAAAAGCAAATGGGGGCTGGACAGCGAGTAAGCGAGGCAAACCGTAGTAAATCCTTGGAGGCAGCACTACCACGCAGATGTGTGTGTGAGATGCGCTGGGCTCTGCCTGTGCTGGGGAAGGGGACAGCGAGATGTGATTTTTTTTAAAGCACGTTCTCAGCTGTGATTTCGATGGGAGCGCGGAGCCCGAAGGTACAACTTCACCCGCTCCTATTTCCCTGGAATTTGCTTAGCGTGTTGCTTGCTCTGGGTTGCCGTTTGATGGCCGGCTGAGCGTGACGGAGGGTTGCTTTGCTGCTGAGTTAGGTGGTTATGGAGGGTATTAATGGCGATGTTTTATTTGGACCTCGCTGGGGCTATTTCAGCGGGGATCTCCTCAGACGCAGGGCAGGAGGGCCGATGCCCCTGGACGGGGTGGCAGGCATGGGGCTGCGTGGCTCTGACCCACACGGATCCGTCTGGTGGAGGGGCAGCCCTGGGGTGAGGGAGCCGAGATGGAGGAGCAGCCTTGAGGTGAAGGAGACAGGATGGAGGGAAAGCCCTGAGGTGAGGGCTGAGATGCAGGGGCAGCCCTGAGGCGAGGGCGCTGAGATGGAGGGGCAGCCCTGTGGTGAAGGAGGCGGGAAGGAGGGGCAGCCCTGTGGTGAAGGAGGCGGGAAGGAGGGGCAGCCCTGTGGTGAAGGAGGCGGGAAGGAGGGGCAGCCCTGTGGTGAAGGAGGCGGGAAGGAGGGGCAGCCCTGTGGTGAAGGAGGCGGGAAGGAGGGGCAGCCCTGTGGTGAAGGAGGCGGGAAGGAGGGGCAGCCCTGTGGTGAAGGAGGCGGGAAGGAGGGGCAGCCCTGTGGTGAAGGAGGCGGGAAGGAGGGGCAGCCCTGTGGTGAAGGAGGCGGGAAGGAGGGGCAGCCCTGTGGTGAAGGAGGCGGGAAGGAGGGGCAGCCCTGTGGTGAAGGAGGCGGGAAGGAGGGGCAGCCCTGTGGTGAAGGAGGCGGGAAGGAGGGGCAGCCCTGTGGTGAAGGAGGCGGGAAGGAGGGGCAGCCCTGTGGTGAAGGAGGCGGGAAGGAGGGGCAGCCCTGTGGTGAAGGAGGCGGGAAGGAGGGGCAGCCCTGTGGTGAAGGGATGGACGGGCTTCGCCGCCCCGGGGGCTGCTGGGGGGCCACGGGAAAACAGAGACCGACATTATACGGCGGAGCAGCCTGGTGTCTGGCTGCTACAGCCTGGGAAGGCCGAACCCCCCCGCCAGGTAACGCAGAGACAAAATACACAAGTGGTTTTTGGGTTTTGGGGTTGTGTTGGGTTTTTCTTTTAGCCTCAGACTGGTCAGGGAAAGCTGAAGCTTTATTCTGGGCCAGACTTTAAGCCCAAGGCCCAGGTCATGGTCGCTTGGATGCCCCACTCGCTCCGCGGGGCCGTGGATTTCACTGGCCGGGGCAGGCACAGCCGAGGGATTTGCTTTCTGAGGGATTTGCACCCACATACACTCAGACTACAGAGGCCCGGCCCTGCAGAGCGCTGTCTGTCAGAGACTGGGGGGGTTCAAAGCCTGGCACCTGGAGAGCTCGCCCGCTGCCCGCCGGTGTTTTGCAGGCAATAGCCGGAGTGTCTCTAGACCCGACGGTATCACTGTGCTTTGCTCGTCACACACGCAGCCTGTAATTAACACTCTGACACGCTTGCGTCTAAATAAGTAGCAAGGACCCATTGCCAAACGTTGCAAGTTCAGGCCAATAAAATGTAGCCTTTAAAAAAACAAAACCTTTGAGGGTGTTATAGAGGAAAAGGGAAATGTGCCCTGAGCACTTACGTTTTATTTCGATTTGCATTTTATGGAATATTATTTATGGGCATGTGAAAGCTAACGAAGGAGTGCGGTCTGATTGCTGGAGATTGTCATCTGCTCTTGGGAAGGTAGCAAGCAGCAGTCTGGGTTTTCTGGGGGCTGGGGGGGATTTCGAGACTGCTTTCTCTCAGTGCATGGCAAAACAGTCCAGCTACTTGGACCACAGTGGCAGAGCTGCGCGTGTGTGAGGAGCGGGTATTCAGAAAATAGTAATTTTTCTCTCCAGTCCAAGTTCAGCCAGGATTTTTGTCCCATGGTCCTACCTGTGATGCTGCTGGATTGCTAAAGCTACGGGCTCTGGTCAAGCTGCTTCTTGCAGAGCTGGTCTCCAAACCTCAGCTCACAGCGCCTGACAGCAGTTTTGGTGCTGCTTTTGCAGTAGCATGGCTTTGGGACGGGGCAGAGCTGGCAGGCTGAGATGTGAAGTCAGGTTGGTTTGGTCAGTTGTGAGCATTTTTCGCAGCATTGTGCTTTTCTAGCCAGCCCGAGCACGCTACCCCTCCACATAGCATGCAAGAGGGACGGCCCAGCCACTTCCACGCTTGGCTCGGCTCGGCTGCATCCAGCCCCGGGTGTGTGCAGAGCGGTGCGGTTCGTGACAGCTTTGAGCTGCTCCTTTCTTATCTCGCACCAAAGCCACAGCCACGTTCACAAACCAGGTGCTCCCCCACCTTTCTCCTCCGTGGAGCCTGCGTGGGAAGGCAGGCGCTGCCGATCGCCCGCAAAACGGCTGGAGGGGAGGGAGGAACCTCTCCTCCCTTTCTCCTTCCAGCGGCCAAGGGCTGAAGGACTCACCTGGGATGAGAAAGAGGGTTCAGATCAGATCCCCTCCCTATCTGCTCCTCCAGAGCATGCCCTTGCCACTAGTTAGCTGGAAGGGATTAGCTCGAGTATTTTTTCCTGGGGAAATGCTGCAGGGCCTGGAACACCAGCCCTGAGAAGTTAAAAATGATTCATCTTAAGAAATGTATCTAAAACACACATCCCTATGCATGCATAGCAAATATGCAGTCGTATGAATGTGTGTGTCTATATACATATGCATATCTAAAACCAACAAGCATGTTTATCATACTCATCTCACACATTTTCTTGCTCTGAGTCGATTCAAAATCCAGCTGATGCTACAAAAAAAAAAGTCACTGAGGCCAGATGACATCCACTACCAAAGCAGAAAGGCGCAATGCCCCTGCTTTTAACAAGGGAAAAATAGGCGTCTTGGGAAGAAACAGAAAGGATGAAGAGGCACCTCCAGCTGGCCAAGGCTTTGAGCTCGGTGCACCGGCTAAGCGCTTTGGGCTAGAACTGCTCTTTCTAGAGATGGTCATCTCATGAGGGGTGTTAAAAGGCTGAGAAAGGCACAATCGCAGTGTTTCTAGCCATGTCCTCCTGCATAACCAGTGCCAGAGCTCGGCGTGGGCCGCTGAGGACTCAAGGACAGGGGTTTCGCACCTCTCCTTGGAGAGCAAAACTCGTTTCTCTCTGTCTCAGGTGCGCCAAGGCCAGAGGTGTGCTGGGTTCTGTAAGGAGATGGCACCAGCCTCGGGACAGCTGAGGTAGCCACAGAAAAGCCTTGAGGTCCTCAAAGGATCTTGTGGTCTGGATTCCCCTCTCTAACCTGGGCTTCCCGCAGGAGGACGGGACCCGGCAGCACCGGGCAGAGGTCCCTCTCCTGCCTGGCTGGCTGGCTACGACCCCCTTCGGGTTTATACCCCCCCAAGAAAAGGCATGGGGGCTCCAGCGTCCGAGGGAGCTGGGTAATGTCCCCGCCATGCTGACTCAAGCCTCCCTTCCCCCAGCAGAAGAAAGCCTGAATTTCTCACTCTCTTTATCCTTCTGGAAGGAGAAAAATACACAGAGAAATCAAGCAGAGGGATAGTGTGGCTCCTAGCTTGGGAGTTTTCAGCTGTGTGTTTATCAGCTCCATCCCCTGATGGTATCAGCACGAACAGGCCACCCACAAGAAGGCTTAGCAGGCTGGTCTGGACTCCAGCTTTTCCTCTCTGTCTCCGTGTGTGTGTATATACACCACCGACTATCTCAGGGACCGGCCGTCTGGGGCCTGCATCCATTTATTTACTACACAGCTGATGTAATGGCTAAACATTTTTTTTCTGTGTTTATGGGGTGTGTTTTTTTAATCTGCCAGAGATGAATAGACCCCTAGAGAAGTCAGCTTAGTCGTGTCCCTTCTTGGATAGGAAACAACAAATTTTAGGACAGGAAATGGGAACAACTTAAACAAATGGGTTTAGAATTTTTGTATTTAAGTTCCCCAGCTCTCTTCCCTGGCAGATCCAAGAGATGCTTTTCCCTCTGACTTTAATCCCTTGGGCAGGGGATGGCCCAGGCTATAGGACAAACTCTACAAGCCTCAAGGATAGCGCTCTAACCACCCACTTTCGTCCTCCACCCCACAGGCACGTCAGATCTGAGCCCCTTCTCTGACCCCCGGCAGTTCGATCGCTCCTTCCCGACGCTGCCGGCTCTCACCGAGACCAGGTTCTCCGACCCGAGGATGCATTACCCCGGCGCCATGTCTGCTGCCTTCCCTTACACCGCGACGCCCTCTGCCACGGGCATCGGGGGCATCAGCATGACCAGCATGCCCACCACGACGCGTTTCCACCACACTTACCTGCCACCCCCCTACCCCGGCTCCACGCAAAACCAAAGTGGACCCTTCCAGGCCAACCCCTCTCCCTACCATTTGTACTACGGCACATCTTCGGGCTCCTACCAGTTCTCCATGGTGGCGGGCGGCGAGCGCTCCCCCACCCGGATGCTTTCTTCTTGTACAAGTGCCTCAGCGGGGAACAACTTAATGAATCCCAACCTGGGCAATCAGAACGACGGGGTGGATGCGGACGGGAGCCACAGTAATTCGCCGACAACCATGACGACTACTGGGAGGATGGATGAGTCGGTCTGGAGACCCTACTAGGAGGAACTCAACTGGGGACCGATAGCTTTAACTTAATCAGCCACCGTTACATTACTCCTTTTGGTAGTGAATATAGCAAAATGATGCCTAGGGAAAAGGTAAACCAAAGTCTCCCAAACCAAAAGCAAACCAGGATCCTCTGCATGCAAGCACGGGCAAACATCAAGCGAAGACGGACCAGGACCTGCGTTACATTTCAAGATGAACGTCCACGAGGCTTGAATTTGTCGCTTGATGTGGTTCCTTTCGTATGTTTTAAGTATGTGGATTGTACATAGGGAAAAAAAAAAAAGGACGTGTGGAATCAGATGCTTGTTTCTTGCAGAACACTTCTCAGTCATCTCACTCGCACCCTCTTCCCCACACAAAGCATTCAAAAATTACGAAAAGCTCACCCTTCTTCTGCAAAATGTTTCAGAGAAGAGAAAAGACCAGGGCGTCGTCCAAGCCATCCCTCTGCCAGTGCAGGAAGACTGAACTGAAAAAAAAAAAAGGAAAAAAAAAAAAAAAAAAGAAAAAAGCCCCGTTGTCTCCTCTCCTTCCCTCCACACCAGTGTAGGGCCCCTGACCACCAAAGAGCTCCGGGACGACGCCAGAGCCGCGCGCGGCACGTGAGAGTCTGGTTTACAGCACAACCGCGGGGACTCGGGCACGCGCGGGGGCTGCGCGCTCCTCGCGGGTCGGCCGGCATCAGCCATGTGAACAAGAGCTGTGATGTGATTATTATTATTTGTTGTTGACGACAGAGGTTGTATTGTTCATTTTTATCGTTGTCGTCATTTTTAAAACAGTAACGTGGTTGATCCCGTGCCCGACAGACCCCCCCTTCCCTGTATGTTTACATATGAGATGTACTTTTTAACGAGACGTGTTTTGTTTTGTTTTGTTTGCTCTTTTGTCCTGACCTCACCATTCGATTCTTTGCTCCTCTTAGCAAATCTCAGTGATGGTGGCTGAAGCGAAGGCGGCGTTCAGGACAATCCAAGATGTATGAGATGCACTTCCAAGCGCGTTAGCTGCAAAAGGGACTCGGGAGCCTTTGGCATGACCCTGCCACCGGTCTCTGGGTCTTCCTTTCATCCTCTGTGAGTGGCGACACATGCAGCTGGTGGCAAAGCATCAGATTTGTCTCATGATTCTTTCCCACGTTTTCACCCAGAGCGGATTGACACATGATGACTTTTTTTTATCAAGAAATGACTTTTACACTTGTCAGTTCGTACTGAAAGCTCTAACTGAGATTTGGAGAAAGGAGCAATTTCTACCCAGTCCCTTGGTGGTGGGAATATTGCGAAGCAATGTTATCTAGCGTTTTCCATCCTCTCACCCTCCTTTCCTTTCCCCCGAGTTTCCCAGAGCAGGGGTATCTTGCTGTAGATGAATAAGCTGAAGAAGGGGCACTAAAGGTACCGCCGGCCCGTTGGTAGCTGGTCGCATCACGTGGCATTCGGAGGAACCAGGTCTCCCGGGCACCACACACCCTCGTAGCTGATACCAAAGGGTTTGCAACCCGAACGGGACCGCGACGGGAGGTCGTAGGCAGCCGGAGAGGTGGCAGGGGCTCCCCAAGGCCGGGTTAGTGGCCTGGCTCCGACGCACGCCGCAGGGTTACATCACCTCCCGCAAGCCGGCTGTGCTTTTCTGCTGGCATGGGAATTCGGGCTGGATTCGGGATTCCTCACGCCGGCAGGGCTGAGGGGGCGCGGGCAGGATCCCAGGGAGCATGTAACTGCAGTACCCACCGCCCTCCGGAGCCTGCCCTGTGGCAAGGGGACGGGGACAGTCCCCAGCCCGCAGTGCCACCAGTAACCAAGCCTTTTTGTTTGTTTGTTTTTTTGCATGAGCATAAGAAAATTGAAACCCCACAGCTGCCCTCCCAGCCCCTCTGTCTAAGTTACACCATTACAGCCGCGCCGCCTATCACCAAATCTCAGTTGGCAGCTTGTCAGCACTCGGTTGAGGTACAGAGCGTTGTAATTGCACTACCACGTCAAGACTGGAGCAAGACATCCTGGCTTCGTTGGAAAGCTGCGATGACCACTCATGAGTTAAATAAGCAACAAGAAGAACAACTCTTTTATATAATAATAATTAAAAAAAAAAGCCCTACCCCAGCAAAACTGCAACCTTCACCTGCCTTAGCGACAGCGAGCACCTCGCCGGTGCTCGCCAGCTGTAGAAACTGGACCACGGCAGCCTGTGTTTTGATGCATTTACGTTTATCATCCGATCGCGCCACTGATTGAAAGCACAAAGAAAACAAGGCATTCGTAGTACTAGGTTAATTTAAGACTGTTCGTAGTGAATTTAAAGAGTAAAATAATAAAAAGAATGGCAACGATGTTATTTTTATGACATATTGTCATGTGAAGGTGTAAATATATGCACCTCTATTGTATGCAAATGGTCGCAAGACAGGCCAATGTTTTTTGCTTTGCACTATAATTTGCTTTTTTAAAAAAAATGCACAATCGCTTGTACAGTAAAACCCCTTTGTCTGGCTCACAGAATATTTAACTATAAAATCTAATTTTTGGTCTTATTTGTTATAAAACTATAAAACTAATTTTTGGTCTTATTTGTTATAATAATATAATTCTTAAATGTGTTGAAGGATCCGATTCTTAATAATGCTTCTAATACTTGTATGTGCAGGGTAAAATAACAACAAACAACTAAGGAGATGAGAACAAAGATCTTTGTAGATAAAGAAGGCTAAAGTTGTTGGTTTTTTTCATGGTGTCTTACGATGGACATTAAAAACAAATGCTAGTGATACCAAATAATGTGGTTATTTGTGTACTATACCAGCCCTACTTGAAGGTAATGCCCTATATTTAATATGTAGCCCATCTTTTTAACTTGTAGCACTTGTCACTGGGGAGGGGGGAGGCGGGGAGGGAGGGCGAGGAAGAGGAGGGTCTGCTCCTGTTGAAGTCATTGGAAGAAGCTCTCGCTGGAGACGTCTCTGCTGCGCTGGCTTCAATGAGAACAGAGTCGGGCTCCTTCGTGAGCGGGTGGGAATCGCGTTGGTACGAAGCCGTAGCAAAGCGGCCAGTTCTGCTTTTCTATTATCAGTGTCGATGTTCTTATCCAATGTACGTGATTATATCGTCAGGCCTCCGTGTAATCCTTTTAATGACTTTCCACGTGGAATAATAAACATACGGTTACAAGTCTCCCCGGTGCCTTCCGCCTGCTCACTTCTCGCCGGGGGGAGCAGATCTGTGCCCCGGTACAGAGGAAGGCTCGTCACGCTGCTCTTTCTCCAGGGTCTAATCTTGGCACCTCTCCGAGCATCCCGGTGCCC